TTTTTTTTTTTTTTTTTTTTTTTTTTTTTTTTTTTTTTTTTTTTTTTTTTTTTTTTTTTTTTTTTTTTTTTTTTTTTTTTTTTTTTTTTTTTTTTTTTTTTTTTTTTTTTTTTTTTTTTTTTTTTTTTTTTTTTTTTTTTTTTTTTTTTTTTTTTTTTTTGGTAGAAGGATGATGTTACCTGCACTTCATTGGCTTTGTTTTACTTTCGGTTTTCAGATGGCTCTGATGCTGAAAGTGATGTATGTTTCACTGATTTTAGGATCATTTGTAGCTAGAGTGAATATGGAAAAGTGTGCTGTGGTGGGTTGGATCCTTTTTTGAGAGAGAGATTTGTCTTAAATGTGCATGATCATTGTAAACCAGCAGTACAAGATGAGCAGTTTGACGTGACTCTTCAGAGCATGTACAAGAGCCTACCTGCGTGTTTCAACTTCCTGTCCAAATACTGTTCAGAAAACTCCGGGGCAGCAAAGCTCAGCATCTGTGAGACTTGCTAATCATTAACATTGACTTGCCAGTTTCAGAGGTGTCCCCTTTTCACTGATATGGGGACTTTTTTTTTTTTTTTTAGTTAAGAGATCTGTATATGTTTTTTGATGATGTTATACACTGGCTAATTGTTTTAATAATATACCTCAGAGACATTTGAATTAAGTGGGTGCTTTTTTCCCCCATTGCAGGCAAGAAAGAACCTTTAATTCTGGGGCTGGATTTGAAAAAAAGGCAATTCCTAGATTTGGCAGATGTGCCTCTCCTTGGGTGGTCCAAGACCTATTTGGAAAAAGCACCAGAGATTTAAAGTTAGAGAGGGTGAATCTCATTTACAGTAAGGCAGTGGAGAAGAATTCTTATCCTGAGAACTGTCAGGGCCACTACTATTTTGCAGAGCCATTTGCTATGCTCTCTGCTACTTGCCAGAACCAAAACTTTATGTTGTGTAGTAAAACAGGACACAGTACAGCTACAAAAGAAATAAAAGCATTGAGTACTTAAAAGTGGGTACGCTGGGAAACTGAAAAGACAAAATACACTTTCCGTCTTATTTCATTAAAAATGCAGATGTTGACTTTTAATTCTAGCATTCCAGTGTTAATTAAAATAAGTATATAGTCACTACACATTGCCTTCATTGTTCTGAGAAAATAAATCTACTCCCAGAACATGCCTGTGGAAACAGAATGCTTGAAATATGGTACTTGCTCTTCATATTTCTGCCTCAGTAGCAAGTTCACATTTTTCCATATGGTCCATCTGTTGAGAGCAAAAACAAAATTTTTAAAGCATGAGCCATATCATTCTAAATTGGTTTTATCCCTAACCAAAAAATATGACTCAGATTCAAAACAACCATGGAATTTTCCAAGTGATATCTCTGGTTTTGTAAATCCCCTATTCTATTTAAAAAAAAAAAAAAAAAAAAGGAGATACCACATTCAGCCTCTGTTAAAATCTTACCATGTGTAAAACAAACAAAAAAAAAAAGATCCAGACGGGATCTGATCATGCTCTCAGGGGTACTGATGTGAACTTCGAGAAACTTTCCTGCTTTCAAGCGGTCACCACGTGAAATACTCAAGAAACATGTGAAGGCTTAAACATTGTGCAGCTACATCTATGGTAGCATGTACGTTCCCTATGTGCTTTTTAATTATGGCCCTAGACTGAACAAAACAGTCTCAAAATATGACAGATGAAATAGGAAGCTTTGAGACTGCTTAAATAAACTAGTGTATAAAATTTTTGGAAGCTTCCCAGGAACATGAATCACATTTTGAAAATGCCATGGACCTGGGAAGCCTGGATGTTACTGGTTTCCTATGAGACTGAGATTCCTAAGTAATTTCTGTTCAGTTGGAAACATGTCCCCAGGTTCACTGAAGACAGAAAGATCAGGTAGCCTTTTCAATAAATTCAAAATTAAGACCAAAATTCCTAGCATTTCCTTATTACTTGAAGAAAAAACTGTATGAACATAATATCTGTTACACTTCTGAAGAGTTCTTTTGACGTATCATACCATGAAGGCCTTGTTAGTCTGATTAACTGATTTCTTACTCACAGATATCATCTTTTCTAGTGCTTTTGTTGTTATTGAAGAAATGAATTTACATCTGAATTTCACTGGATGAAAATAATGCTTCTCTCTAACTGAAGTAGGCTGATGCTTTTCTTAACAGCAGAAGAGTGAATTAACTACTTTTTAAAGATATAGCCATTTTCTGTATGTATCTTCATGTAAAGGCCTTTGTAGAGTAGAAATGGGCAGAAAGTTATTGAAACCAGTGAAAAGAGAAAATTTGTTTCAGCGACGCAAGGAGAAGTTCCAGAGATATTCTTTCAAGAGGTGGGATAGAAATACTGGTTCTGACTTCGGCAGTGAAATGGACTACTAAATATGAAAGTAATGTACTTCCCATGGGGAAAAAAAAAAAAAAAACACAACACAAACAAACAACCAACCAGAATGTTCTTCCAGAATGCATTTGTTTATAGGCAGTAAATGAAGTGGAAATGTGAATTCCTGATCCATTCAGCCATTCCTCTCCTGCCAAAACACAGTTTGGTGATATGCATTCAGTGCTCTGAGAAGCGTCTACTGAATGCATACAAATGCTGCTCTTTGCAGCTACTGTGTGTAGAGGAAAAAAGCAATTCTTCTGTCATATGTGGTTCAGTATCATGGGTTTACCCAGTTAATGCAATAAATAAATAGTCCGAGTAGCCTTCTGTAAGGCAGAAGTGAAATTATTAATCTCTCACAGCACAAACCTCTACCCTTTCATCCAAGTTGCTTTACTTCAACTAGTGTCATAAAAGAAAGTGGAACATGGATGATGATCCAGAAAAGAAAGACACAAAACGAAATAAAAGTCTGAAAACTTCGAGTAGGATATGGTGTTTTGAAAAGGATACAATCGCAAGCTGTTTGTGACCTGGAAACAGCGCTGCACTGCACATCTGAGCCATAAAATGCCTTTAGCACTCACACATCATCATATGAGGACCGGCTCATCCCAGCTTTCCTCTCAGATGGCCCACCCCGGGCCCATTCTCAGGGGCAGGTGCTCCAGCCCGTTTGCTGACAATGGTTTCAGAGCGAGTATAAACACACCTGAACTGTTCCCAGCACCATCGCAACAGGGCTGACCCCGGCTGGTCTGGAAGTGATTTCAGCTTTGTCTACACCAGCGCTCAAGTTGTTTTCATCACCTCCACAGCTGCACCAACATCTGAAAACAAGCACAGAGGAAGCAACCCACCAATGGCCAGTTGCAGGAGCAAAGCCTGGGGCTTTTAATCAGCAGCATGTTCCTTGGGATTGTGCAGGGTTGAGCCTGAGGAGCAAGACATAGAGGTCTCTGAGAATGGAAAACCATGCGTGCACAAATGCCAGCTTTCCAGGGACAGTTCTTTAACAAGATCACAACAGTGGGAAATAATTTTACTCTCATTCAGTTGCACAGATGGAAATGCTTTCTATCAAAGGCATTTTGCCTTCTATCAAGGATGCAAGAATTCTTCTGTCATGCCCGGCAATATCGCCTTTTCATGGCAGAGTTGTCTTTGTTGCATTTTTCTCAAATGAATGTATCTGTGGAGACTGGGATCTCTCCACACTGGGTACTTATGTAAAGATGTTACCTTGGCTCTGGAGAACATAAACTCCCTTCCTTGATAAGCAAAATAATAACAATAAGCTCCAAAGAATTATCTGCAGATCCTCAAAATATGTGTTTTGTTATACAAAAATAATTCCTGCATGGTTTATTTGAAGAAGATTCTAGTGTTTATGCCTGACACTGGTCCTCTGCCAAAGGGATTTTCTGAAAGTCCCGCTTGTGCAAGAGCAGTATCCGTGTCTCTTGGGGATAGAGGCAATTGTGGAAAAGCAGAATTTAAAAAATCAGGACAGCTTTCAACACACATGAGGCTCAGATGGATTGAAGAGATGGAGGATTGTTCTGAACAACGTGCATTTGCAAATAAGAGCGTTCTTCAGCCCCTGGCAAGTAAATAATGAAGAAGTTTGAAAAAAAGCTAGCACCATGTCATCAGCAGGAGAAGAAGAGGGAGATATTCCTGCACCACGGCAAACTCATGGAGAACATCACAAAGACAAGCAACACAAGTGAGATGTGTTCAGGAAAGAAGATATCAGGCAATTTCAGATTGCAGACTAGATAAGAGTGGAGGGAAGAAGGAGAAAGAAAGAAAGAAGATTGAAATCTGTATGTATTTAGTGTGGTGGACAGTCATTCACACTGAAGTCTGTAGCACTACGGTGATATTTTGGGAGCCTGAGCTCTGCCCCAGAATGGAGAATAAAGGTGAGGGAAGAATTAACAGGAAGCAGCGGCAAAGACAGGCAAAGCACAGAAGAGAACATCCTTCACTATGACCAAGGGAAAAGCTGCACTGAAGTTTTCTGCAGAAGAGCTTATGAACTGCAAGGTCAGACAGCTATGGACCTTCTTTTGAGAGCACTTCTACCTTCTCATCTTACTTAGTGACTGGACTGACTTGTTTTTCCACTTGTCAGCCATGTTGAATGTACTTCCCTTTGGGTTTGAGTTTGTCTTCTCACTTTTTGGAATATTTTTGGCTTTTCTGTGATTGCTGTATTAAATACTCCTCCTCGAAGCAAATTACCAGAAAACACAATATGCCCTCACACAAATAGGGAAATCATGGTGTTTTCACAGATTTTATGTGACTGGTGAAAGCAACAGTGTGTTGCAAGTTTGAAAAAAGAACTCAATCAGGTCCCTTCATGAGGTGGAATAAGCAGTGAACCGGTACACGTTTTTGCTAGCCATAATTCTTCCCTTTTTTTCAAAATAGTCAAGAAAACGACTTCCTAGATTTTTTTTTTCCTCTGATGGATTTTTGCTGTAAATTTTGCAGAGTGTTATCTTCTGGAAAGATTACACTTTCTTGCCTCTTTTGTGATGATTTTTCACTAACACCTAACCAGGACATCACTTAATGCACTCCATAGACCAGCAGATGTAAGTCTGTTAGTGCAGTGGTTTTGGTGTACTATTGCTTATCACGTTTTTGCCCTTTAGGTGCCAACCTGGATTCACTGGAGCAAGATGTACTGAAACTCTGCCCATGAAAATCCAAAACCAAGAAAGTATGTTAAAATAATCTGAACTTTGCTTTCTTCCCCAACTACAGCAACAAAATCAATAGTACTTGGTGTTTTCACAGTTCAGCTGGAACTGGCCTCTTTACTCACTAATTTATGACTGATTCTCTAAAGTACAATCTGTACACCATGGCATTATTGACCTCCAAAATGTTTCTCATTTGTGTGATTTTTGATCTTTCCATTCATTCACAGATGCATTTGTTTTGCACACAATGGCAGTTTTCTCGTTTGGGAGACTGCTGTAAAGTGCAACCCTAAAAGAGCAAACTCATGGAGTGATGTACAGATCTTGTGTCCTTGCTGCCTTGTGGAAAGTGCATCCTAATACCAATTTGGGACTCTGGAATGGTGGATTTCTGTCTCACATCTTGAAACACACTTTGATCTGGATTGGTTTGGTTTTGGCTGGTTTTTCAGGGGGGTATTTCTTTACATTTCCACAGAGCAAATGAGTTGCTCTCAACGTCTCGAGCCATTTTGACACGCTAAACCGAGATTCAGTTTCTGAAAGTGAACTCACCAAGTCATATCAGTTCACACTGAAGGAGCTTCTTTCTTAGCATATGTTCACCTCTTCTCTTTTCTCTGTTTTTTTTTTTTTTCTCTACCATTTTTTTGTTTGTTTTTTCCTCTCAGGTGCCCAAATGAATTTACTGGTGATCGCTGCCAAAACTACGTAATGGCCAGCTTCTACAGTACGTCCACTACTTTTCTGTCTGTGCCGCAGTAGAAGCATGCTCAGTTGGTGCTGCTTTCTTGTCGCTGCATCTTTCCTTCGATTTTTTTTTTCCTTAAATCTGTAACTAGATTTGTTGCCTAAGGCCTAATATTGATTGTCTCTGCCTGTTGCATGAAACAATAACAAAGAACGCAATTGCAATACTCTCCTGGATCGTTTGGCATTGAGATTATGGGGAAATGCAGGACTTAGGAACGCTGTGAAGTTAACACTGAGTGTCTGACATGGACTCCCCACTGACTCCGAGCAGAAAAAGTACAAGAATTATATTTGAAAGTCTCTCATTTTATTTGCCACAAAAAGCTAGTGAACAGGTAAAGTACAGCAGCACTCCTCCCAGAAAAAAAGGGACGGGTAGCCAATCCTCTAATTGTATATGAGATTTGCATTTGGAACTACAGGTTAAAGGTTATTGAGGTGTTTCCTTGGTTTCTAGTGAGCACATGCCAAACAGGATCAAAACGTACTTCCTCCTCATTGTCCAAGTTTCAGTTGAGAGAGCACATAAAGAAAAAGAAAAGAGAGGGAGATGGCTTAAACAATGGGGTCTGACATATTTTGGGTCTATTGGGGGTAACAGGTGCAAGAGATCAAATAGTTCAGATTAATTGGTAAAATAGAAGTCCCAAACACATATGCAAGCAGAGAGAGGACATTGTTTCAGAATTCTGTTAGAATCAGCACTGCAGTCACATCTCATTAGTTTTCCCATGAAGGAATGGGTTTATTATTATTATTATTTATTATTATTATTCAGGGAGGAAACAGATAGTACACTAAATACATTTTTTTCTCTCACTGGCTATAGCAAAGTTGAAGATAACACATAAGAAAATTGCTTAGATCTCACATTTTAATGCATGTGTACTATGCACAATTAATTACTGCTGGCATCAGAATGTACTGTGACCTAAGACCAGTATGATAGAAACAATTTTTTTGATGGATTACTTGCCAACATAGAAATACTATAGGCTATCCTTTTTATTTCCATTAGTATATAGGACAAAAAGCTGTAAGCATGGGCTGGACATTTTGGAGCCTGCAGAGATGCAAAGGTTTCCTTGTATATTGATGGATGAAAAATGTCCATATATAATTCATACTGCCCATCATGGAAGCTACCCATGTAAATCCCAAGAGTGATGACTGGAGACCAGACCTCCCAGCACTCAAGTGTGTATTTTATGCCCTGATTTAAAAGCTTCATTAGTGTGAGTTATTTTTAAAATGCCTTTAGTAACTATGGATTCAAAAAATTTTATGTTGTGACAGTATTTGTTTACCAAATTTTGGGTGGCCTTTCCTGGGTACTGTGGTGAAAAGTGCAGTTAAGGTTTTCTGATATTAGAAGAACAATTTAAAAAGAGTTGGTGTAAAAATATGAGATCCATTGTTTGCTGCTGACTTTACCCTGGAAATTTTGCAACAGTGGCCTGTTGATTATAAATTCATTTTCCTATCCAGGATAAAAAAAAAAAAAAAAAAAAGTTTAGGTGGGTATTCCTTCATTAGTTTTTCAACTGGGATTTTTAAATGACAGTTTGAGTTTTTCTCAAATTGCCTCCATGGAAAAGGCATAGATGCCCTCGCCTTGCTGCGAGAGTTATGCTCAGTTACAAATACTTAAGTTGGTCTCAGTCTTTCCTCTCCCTGAAATGCACTGACAGGAGAGCACACCTCTGCCTGCCTTAGGCTACTCTGAGAGCCCCAGTCAATGGCTGTGAGACTCTGGCACTTCTGCCCACCCTGCATCTTGTGCCACTAAAGATGTGGAAATGACACTTTGGAAAGGGTTCATCTAGGGTGCATTTATACTTAACAACAACAACAACAACAAATTAATGAAGAAGCATTTATATACTTTTTATTATTAAAACAAAAGAAGACCACACCATACCATTTAAGAGGGGACTTAGAATGAGAGTTCTCTTTAGGCGAATGTTGCATCTGGGGCATAAAGCCAAGCCCATATTTTCCAAGAAGTGTTGTTGATGATTGACTTAGCTCTGTAGATGCAGCTTTTGCAAAGTACAGAGCAAACTGGAATACTGAACAGCATGAGTGCCAGTAGGAAACAAAACTGTATGTGTGAACTATACAGTGCTATCTAATTTTACTTGCTTTCAGAAGAGTCTTCCTTCATTTGGAAAGACAGAGTCAATGGGATTCCAAGCCAAGTGTGCCTACTGATGAGCTGTTACCATCTTAATTTGGCTGTTGAGGAAAAGATGGCTTCAGAAATCTGCCCTAAACTTGGAATTTGAGAGTCCTGAAGTTACGAGCTTCGCCGAGGGTCTTTTGCAAGGCCGGGAAAAGGCTGCCACTGAGCATTCTGGAAATTCCTTGTCCCAAGAGAGTGCAAGGCTAATTGGCTTATCTTGGCAGTGGTTTGGTTAGCCCCAAACAATTCATTTAGCATTGTGCAGTAGAAATAGGTTGAAAAGGGACACAGGAAATTAGGTAGCTCTCCGATTTAAGAAAAGCTATCCATAGAAGTCCTTTCTGTCAACAGAAGCATGAGCATAACTGGGACTGGATGTGAGAGAGGCTACCGGAAAGCACATGTTTACACTTAACTGTTTACACTGTCTTCCATCTTTGCAAACACCCCAAACCATAGGACAACCAGTGGTGCTGAGAGGTGATGACTGTGAGATTCCCCACTGTCTCAGTTAACCTCCAGCACTGCAGGTACACCTATTTCCCCTTCAGCTGGTGCTTACTGCCCTTGTAGTCCAAGGGAAACTGAAGAACAAAATGTGCTAGTGTTCTGCTCGTCCCTGGAGCCTGCTGCCAGACCCTGTAATGTCCTTTTCTTGAGCACAGCAGTCACAGCTGCTAGCAGGTGTGCTACCCTGCCGCTCTGCTGTGACCGTTTTGACTTTGAGGCTCGTGGTCCACCACTGCTCCTTAAAGACAGCAGAAGGCAGCCCTCAGAGTGTTCCAAAAATACATCTGTTCCGTGCGGATATATTTGCTGTATCTGAATGTTCACACATTCACTCCCTTGAAGTCGAGGAATCAGGGCAAATGGAGGAAAAATAATCAGTTCACTTTAAAGGTTTTGACTAATTTTTATGAAGTTACGCATGAGAACTCTTAGAACAACACTATGCAGAATGATCCTTGGGGTAAGAAACAGTGACAGAGCTGTGAATTAATAGAAGGTTGAGGAAGCTTCTCTGGAGCATAATCACAGGTAAACCCTTTGTCCTCTCAAATACCCCAGACAGACCAAGGGCCCCACCCAAAGGGCCAATGGACTTGCCAATTTCACTCGTGAACAGTGAATTTAGCTTGAGGGGCGTGCTCTGGGCCTTCTTGGGCATGAATTGAACATGGTCCATGCCTTCCCTCAGCATGGGACACCAGCTTAAACTGTGTCCATTTCGGTTCGGCCATCCCTGATGAACAAGGGGGATTGTACCAAGAAGGATTTAGATGACAACCCCTGCCTCATATGGCCAAGATGAACCTGTTTGAGGCATTGAAGGGGACAAGAGTTGAGAAAAGCTCTGATATCCTAGAAGGGTGGCCAAAAATGCAGTTACTCTGTGATGGCCTTGATTTTCCAGTCTTTGCATATAAATTACAGATCTTCAAAAAGTACATTTTTAGTTATTTTGCTGCCTCAGTATTTCTCAGTTTCTATATATTTCTCAGGTGTTCACATCTGTATGAGATCTGTATAAGGGTACTATACAGTCTTACTGGAAATTTTCATTTTTTAAAGCCTTTCAGAACCCTAAATTGTCCACTTTATGTGCTGAGACCAAAACCCCTAAATGATACAAATTGGAAAATGCCATTGTGCATCTTCTGCTGAAGGTTAAAAAAGACAGTTTTTCACTATATACTAGTAATGTAATGGCCAGTCTTTGTGAACGAAGAACCGGGGAAGGTCTTTACACCTTCCAGCCTGCGCATTGGATTTTTTAGATGAGACACAGTGTGCGCGGAACTGAGCCCACCCTTTAATCCTGAGGTTCATCTGCAGGGGCCAAGCGAGCTTGGACGGTGGCAGCGAGGTCCTCAGGATGTAGATGGATTGCCTTATGGGCTAACGAGCTCTAACTATATACTGCTCAATAAATGTAATTACATACTAAAATTACTATGATAGAATACTTCAATTAGGAAAGGGCAAATTTTCCATGCTTCTAAGACTCAAACCAGTTGCAGGATAACACTTTTACAGGAGCCAGAGGACTTTAAATCCTAAATTCAAAACCCATTTTGCAGCCTGAATACCACTGAAATGAACCAAGATTTTTAATACAAAGTGGATCCTAAATGTCACAAAGAGACTGTATCTTGTTCCCTCAAACAGAATTGACTGACATTTAGGAGTTCTATTCTCTGATAGCTCAGGGGATTTTGTTTCCAAATCAAATTACATGAAAAAGAATTTCTTTTTAAATGTCTCATTACCCACATAACACATTTAATAAGAAAACTAAACAATACTTAACAGACATGACGCCTTGCTGCTTCAGAGTTGAAATGAGTCTCCCTGGACCTCTCTGATGTTGCAGTTTATCCAAATGTGTCCTTCCTTTGTGAGGTGCAAGGTCTCTTAAAAAAACCTGAGGTAGTCCTCATCCCTGAATGGGCAGCACTGTATCTCCAGGCCACCCACCCATCTAGACCTATAGGGTAGCCACCCTAAAGTCTGGGGGCCCCAGTAGCTGTGGCACACCACTCAAGACACTGTGCCTCAGCAGTTGTAGTGTTAAATCACTCTGGGGAAAAAAAGTGCTTCCTATTTTTTTTCTCCAGTACTATCATGTCCCCCCTCGAGTCACATCCAGAATGAAAACTGAGCTGTTAAAAATAATTGATTGATTTTATTCTTAGAGCACCTAGACAAATACTCAATAGAAATCACATTGCATGCAAAAAACATGCAACAATAATTGGGTTAAATATGAAAATATCAAAATAATAATCCGTTTATAAAATGAGAAGCGTTGGGGTATTCTGCTTTCTTTTGATCAGGTCTAGGGAATGTACCTAGGAATACCATAGATAAATAAGAGCTGCATAACATGTAGGTTTGAATAAGCAATGCATGTTTTTTCAGCATGTTTTTTTGTTAGGTCTTTCGGCCAGAACATATTCCCATTTTAGGTACCAACTTCTTACTTAATTATTTGAAATAGAAACTGCATGATATGAATTACTTCCCCTAAAATTAAATCACCTTCAAGCTAGGTGTCTTACCTATAAGCAAGCATAATTACAGCAATATATATGCATGGGCATGTAATTCATTTTATTGAAGATTTAACCAAGCTTTCTATGCAACTAATGTATATTGTTAGCAGGGCTCAGGTAGGCATGTAATACTGGCTCTTTAGGAAGAGACCTGGATGGATTCCAGCTTACTTAACCCTTAAAATGTTACTGATTGGCAACAAGGAATTTGCATTCCCCGTGTGTGTAAACTATATTAAAAAAATCTATTTGGTGAGAAAATTAGGATTGGATTTAAATTTCACGGCACACAAGAAATAAAAAAAAAAAAAAAGGCAAGACCTACCACGGCTATGGTGTTGGCCCCATGGGAAGGGGTATGTGCTGGGGGGAAAACCTGTGTTCCTCCTTACCCTCAGCTGCTGGGGCCTGGGGGTGCTGATTTAGGCATGTGATCTGTGTAAGGGGTTATGAGGCCTTGTGCCCCAGTGTCCATCCAGCAGGCCAACAAGTTGTTCTGCCAAGGCAGCACAGCCCAAAGACAGGGAAAAATGGATTGGGTTTCTCGTTTTCCAGAAGCCAGAGCCCTGCAGCAGTCAATCTGCAAAGCAGAGAAGGACTCCCAGGGCTGAGCAAAAAGTTCCAGCCACCTCCAGGTCACAACCTACAAGAGCAAGGATATGCATTGTGGGGACAGAAGCAGGTCCAGAAGGGGGAGTAATGCGCAACCCATTGGCAGGGGGATGCTACCCTTTGTAAAGCATCCCTTTCCTTTTATGGTCCCACCTGGAACCAACCAGCAATTGCGCTTGGCATCCTCAGGCCGTAGCCCCTCCCATCTCAGCAACATTTTTAAGGGTTAATGGTTCCTGTGGCTGCTCAGATCCCCCATACATACATATTTTTGTGTGTAAGACTTGCAGAAGGTCTGGTCACATAGCTTAGAAAGGCACTGCCCCTGTAACCGGGCACCCCTTTGTCCTGTTTCATGTGCAGACACAGAATAGCCATAATTCTCATATGTGATTTATTTTTGAGTACAGTGTATTGCTCTTTTCTGAAACTTTTTCCTTTTTCTTTCTTTTTTTGACAACTTTCTGCATTGGCAGAGCATCTTGGGATTGAATTTATGGGTATGGACCAATCATTCCTTTTAGCCTGCAGATTCTAGACCCTGAGAGATAAACCCCCTTTAATTTTATTTTTTTTTTCTCCACCTCCCCTTTTCAGTTCTTAACCAATTTCTTTATGCTTTAGAAGGGATCATACAGCTATAACAACAACCCTTGTCAAAGTGTTAGTGGGGATCTGTTCACTAAAATGCTAATAGTGATAGAATATAACAGACTTAATGAATTCTAGGAATTACTGAGGTAATCATAACACAGTGCACTATGTTCTGCTGTACAGTTTTGACATTTGCTTTGCTGAGTTCTTCTAAGGTTGCCAGGTTTTGGAAACACTGTAAGCATTAAGCAAAACGACTAACCAGTATATTAAAAAAGATAAACTGTTACGGCCACTTAAAATTCTGCAAATTTGAAGTTTTGAGCTCTGGTTTCCAAGTAAAGTTTTATGTCTAAACCCACATCTAGGTGTGTTGATCAGTTGCCTGAACATATATGTGTAAATGATAGACATATATACATTCATTTCCAGGTCTGTAAATTAGAAGTGGGCTGGAAGTTATTTAGGAATTTAAGTAGACTAGACTCCAGATCCTCTAGTCAGCAAATATATTCAGTATTTCTAATACTATACTCATATTGCATCCAACCAAGAACATTGGCATTGTATTTTTACACCTCAGTTTTAAATATAACAGAAATAAATCTTTTAAGTCCTCTTCATGAATAGACTGTACTTATCTGACTAGCTATTCATATTCAGAGGTAAAAATAATGCATCTCTTGAATAGGCTAACTTGAAATTCAGGTCACTTTTAGTTTGGAATCTCTATAATTGTCAGTAAATGAAAAAAAAAAAAAAAACAGATGGTGATGCTTTTCACACAGTTTTAGTGTTCTTATTAAAAATGTCCCCACAAAATGTCATTAGCTTAAGCTGTGAACTGTGGAAAACCCACTACAAGTCCTAATTTAAAAAACCACTCACAACCCAGCTAATTTTTGTTACTATCACAAGGTAATATTAATTCTCACTCATAAGGAATAGATTGTAGTAGAAGATACATGGCTACATAAACATATGAATAGTTAAATTAAAATCCTTTAAAAAACTGACTTGAAAATTTTGTTTTATATAAGAAACAATCAGAGAAACAACCTCTTGGAATTAAATTATTTTTAAAATCCCCAGACACCTGTAAGAAGAAAAACTTGACCACAGAATAAATTTAAGATGATATAGATAACCAGTTATGTATAAATTAGAATAATGTGAAATTAATTGCATAAAGTGCATGTTTGAAAAGCTGCACATAGAGGGATTTAATATCTTGACTTAAGTCTTAGGTTGATTTGATTTCCCCAGCATTCTGTATGTGAAAAAAAGTATTGAAATTATTTTTAATAATTAACAGGCCAAAATCTTTTCCAAATTTTCACAGCACATACAATTCTTCACAGACTTCCTTGCAAGGCTGCTGCTGTTGTTTTTTTTCAGGGTGGTTTGATCAGCACATGTTACTTAGCTGGGAATCGTTAAGTGACTGTAAATATTAATACTGGTCAGAGAGAGAAGGCAGTTTTGGGGCAAGACGTGGAATAACCTCAAGTGCCCCACAGGAGTTCAGTCCCTGCTTTGCAGCCTTCTTCTGGCCTGAAACAGCGAGTCCAAGTCTTGTCTTCAAGGCACCATGCCATCTGCAGAATCGTGACCAGAATCCCTGACCCCTCCCAGCCACCAGCATCCCCTGCCATCCACATTGGCCCCTGCAGGACACCAGGACATCCTCCAGCTGGCCCCTTCTGTCCCCAGTCAGCCAGAAACACAGCCAGGCTTACAGGAGAGCTTGCTGGTTTGCTGGGCATGGCATGCCCAGAACCATGTGCCTTCCCAGGCAGTCACTCCCCCACAGATTTTGGGAGAGGGCATGGCAGCACCACCATTCCCACACACCATGTCAAGCTGGATTGTCCGCAGAGCCTCTTTTTTAGGGGCACGGGAGGGAACTGAGGCACCGAACGCAGACCTGGGGGTTTTAATTTTCTGTGCCCCTCAAGACCTACAGTCCCAGCAGACACTCTGGGATGCTCCCTTGCTGCATCCCCCCTCCCCTGCGTGGGTGAGTGCCCACAAGTGTCCAACACACAAGCAAGAAGCCTCAGCCCACTGGGCAACCTCAGGCAGGCCATCACCAGCCAGCATCCCAGCTCGCTTGGCAACAGCCTCAGAGCAGAGCAAACCTCCTGGAGTCAGTGCAGTTTTTCCCTGAGTGTAAACAACCAAGCAGAGTTTCCGCTGTTAATTAATCTTCTTCCTCCTCTCCCTTACCCTCCAAGAAAAACAGGTTGATGTGTCGTTACTCATTTTGCTTCCACAAGCTAACAGCTGAAGGCATGACAGTAAAAAAAAAAAAAAAAAAAAAAAATTTTAAAAAAAATAAAATTAAAAAAAAATTTTTTTCAAAGCTTTTTAAATTAGCCCTTAAATTGCTTAGCTCAATTCTCCTGTTTCCTGTGACATCCTCGTAATACACCATTTCCATGGCTAACTAATAAGCGCTTTCAGAAGAGGCAAAAGTGGGAAGGGGATCAAGTGCCACTAACTAGGCGAGGAGTTATGCTGTATGAGAAATCCCTTCACACTCTGCTTCAGCCTTTTTTTTTTTTTTTTTTTTTTTTTTTTTTTTTTTTTTTTTTTTTTTTTTTTTTTTTTTTTTTTTTTTTTTTTTTTTTTTTTTTTTTTTTTTTTGTCCCTAAGCACTTCTTCTCTCTGTTTTTTTCCAGTATCAAGCATGTTGTGCCAGGCCTGCAGTTGACTTTTCAACCTTTTAATCTTGTCTCTCCCTTTATTTCACCTTCCTCTCTTTCTCTTTCTCCTGATTTGGTTTGGTTGGAGTTTCAGCCCTTTCTTCCTTCCCTTTTTTTGACTTTCTGTTCTTGGAGTTACTTTTTTTTTCTTTAATACATTTTTGCAGCATTCTAGTTTTACCAAACTCACTTCTTCTCCCCCCATTCCCCTCCTTGTTAATAATTAGAGCTATTAATTTTGTCTGACAGTGCTCATGACCTGTTTGCTGGTGTTTTGGTTTGCATTGGGTTTGGCTTGTAGGACAAATTTATTCCATAGTGCCGTGCATTGTATCAGAGAAATTAAGATTTCTTTTTGCTTTTTTGGTTTGTTGCATGGAATATTTGCCACTTGCTCGCAGCAACTTTAAGACTAAACTACTCAAGCTCAGGAAAAACCTTGAAGGGAAGATTGATCCCTCTTCAGTAAGGAGTATTTTCACCTGAACTGGTGTGTCATTTGTGACAGCACATCATTTGGACTTAGATGTGTGGCAGATGTGAGGGACCACTGTGCAGCTCTGTACCTCCTGGTGAACTGCCCCACAGACCTTTTATGTTCATGTAAGCCTGTTCCAGCAGGAATAATGCTGGCTTTTATCCCAAAGGAAGCGCAGAGCTGTGCAACTCTAATTCGTTCATTTATTTTTAATCACCTGCTGATATTCCAGCTGGGGTCGATACTGCAGGTCAATACCAGACTGCTTGCTTGATCAAAAATAAGACTTGAGTAAAACTAGACATCCATTTTTGCCCTAAAAGCAGGAATGAAAATCCACATCTGTAAAGCGTCAACACAGAATGCGCCTCTGCCTCAGCACTCCTCGCACAACGTTTCCCCAGCAGAGCACTCGGCAGTGCTCTCTGCCAAGCGTGAGCAAGGCTGGAAAGCATCAGTAGCTCCAACCCAAACATTACCAGTGCTACTAACACCTTTGTAACAGTGAAATATCTCCAATGAATGAGATCAGTAACAAGTTGTCATTGCTGAGCAAGCTGCCACCCCAGATAGAGACTTCCTTTGTTGGTCACAAAGAGATGCAAGTAGAAACTCAACATTTCTCTCATACAAGGCACTGCTGGTTGTAGATTTTGCTGTGTTTTAGGAGAGCACTGGAGAAGGAGTATGAATTTTATGACCAGAGCTCAAAACGTATCTTCATTTCCATTGCTGATATAATTACAAGCCAAGCTCATGTCTCAAATGTAGAAGAATATTTTGAAATCTCTCCTGTAAAGACAGCTGAGACACAAATTGACATGGGAGCAGAGGGGCATTGGATATGAAAACAATCCAAAAAAGATAATAGGAAAATAAATTTCTCTTAAGACCTGTAAAATTGGCTTTCATTCCAGCTGTCTTTGCAGAGTAAAACTTCCAAAACATTTGCAAATTCATGTTATTACCTTAGCACACTGAATTTTTATTTCCAGCAATCGCTGAGTGTTTGTCAATTGTGAAGTTGTTGCTTAGAAATTATTCTCCTTAACTTAAACAACAACGAAAAAAAGACAAAAAAACCCAACCAAACAACAACAACAAAAACCAAACTGACTTTTGACTGTAATTGCACTCATCTCCACTATTGTGTTAAGAGTTTGTGGTGTAGCCCTGTTTTCCTTGCAGTTAATAATGAGTCTGCCTGAAGTGTGGTGGCTGTGTCTGTGTGGCTGTGTGAATTTGTGGAGTGGTTTGTAGCATGCCAGTTGTTGATGGTGTGCTCCTTGCCTAGCCACCCTCCATGTTGTGACTTTCTCTTTTTTTTGTCCCTTTCTAGAAGCTGAGGAATTGTACCAGAAACGGGTGCTGACCATAACTGGCATTTGCATTGCTCTTCTAGTAGTTGGCATCATGTGTGTGGTGGCCTACTGCAAAACCAAGTAAACTTTTCTCTTCTATTTTATATCTTTGGTTGTTGGTCAGTTGACTGTAGCTTCTACTCCTCTGAGTGTAAGGTTGTATCTGGGTTTCTCCAGAGCTGAGCGGAAGAGACAAACTTGTAGACAGGGTACTCTGGTCCAAGCCAAACGAGTGTAGGTCTCCATGTCCATCAGCAGTGCAAATATAAGGCAGGTATCTGAAAGGTTTCTCAGGGTTTTTTTGGGGGAGGGGTTTTGTTGGTTTTGGTTTGGGTTTTTTTTCTCTATCACCCATTCCAGCCAGTTTCCCCAGCTGAAAAGGAACAAACTCCAAAACTGGAATCATGTTGCTTCCCAGCAGTAAATTTTACATATCAGTCTAGTTTGTTTGTACTTGAGACAAGACTAATGGTGCTAAAAGTTACTGTGCACCAAAGGCCAAAGAAATGAACACAAAAGTGCTCTAAATGTAAAAGCAGGCACTTAAATGCATTCTGTGAGTCTCTAAATTACTGGGGGTGATTCTCAAACATGCATGAGGCACCCTGGACCATAAATTACACAGAACATCAGCAGAATTTCTGCTGCCAGAATTCTGGCTGCTCTTATAAATCTCCCCACCAAAATAAAGAAAACCCTTATCATAAATATTCCACATTTCTATAAACCTGATTTACTGTTTCAGGGTCTGATTGGCAGTTGGGTTGTTGTTTTTTGTTATAGGCCCCACCAATAATGGATGTGCTAAACGTGGGGGAGGAGAGAGATCATTTTTCCCCATCAGTGAGAGTCACACAGACACACACACAGAGCTGCTCCCACCCAAAACTTTGTGCCAGTGGTCAGTGAAGAACAACTGAAACAGTTATAAAATAATCAGATCAATTACTGCTTTCAGAAATGACAACTGGCAAGCCACAGCAGCTAAATTGTATATTTCCTGATCCAGAGTTCATTGAAATCAGCCAAGACATCCCCATGAATTTCAACACAGTCAGTATGTTTGAAGTACAATTTTCTATATAAATAGCCCCCAGAACCCATCAAGGGTCTGGATGCTTTGTTTGCCCCAGACATCAGCAATCACCATGAGCCAGAAGCTGAATGTTTTCCAACACAGCGGATGAGAGCACCATGCCAGTTCATGGCCCTCCAAATGCGGCAGTGGTGCCAGACAGCTATCTGTGAGGTGATTTCCATATGCTCTTTTCTCCAAATAGGGGAAAACCCAGAAACCAGGAGGAATCCTGCAAATGGTGTTAGGAGAACAGTCTAAATAAAATGTAGTGGCTCGGATTTTGTTGGTCTCTTCGCAAGAGATACTGGATGTATCAATTGCTAAGGCAGTATCTTCAGTCACTGAGTCTTAATTCAGAGGCAGTTTATTTGCAAGTCATTTACACTGAGGGAAAAGCTTCCTAGAGTAAGTGAAATACACACTACCTTTTGCATTATTCTTTCCTCTCAGCTTTGTGGAGTAATTTCTTTTTTTGGTAAGTGGTAAGCTTTTGGTAAGTTTTCCTAGAGGACAAACAGCACAGATGGAAGCATGCAAATGCAAATACATGGGAAAGTAATGCAGTTTCCTAAGGACAGGTTCACAGGCGGTATGTGCCAGGATCTCAGTCCTGCAGATGATGAACTCAAACTCATTCTAGAACCCACTTTCTCTATGATGTCAAAATATTAAGGTTGTCTTCAGCTCCCAAGGTCTCCAGGGTCTCAGGGAGATGTGAAATCAAGTTAAACCCTTGCTCGAGTGTCACTTTTCAGCCCAGTCAGGTCCTCGGGCAGCTGCTCAAATGTCTCCTGGCACTGCACTCTCCATCCACCTTAACCACTTATGTGTCCTAAGGTGATGCCTGGTTATCCTCAAAGCAGAAAGTCCAGATGGATCAGGGACTGCATCCTGCTGAGACAGGAGCATTTCCAAAGCAGCCATCTCTGCTTATGCCATTCATGTGGTGCAATATAAATTAAGCATTTTCCACTATCCAAGCACATACACACAGAGAAAATATGTAAAATGCTCTGTGTGTCAAGTAATGTTTTCATTGTCTTTAAGCTTTCCTGGCTATCAAGCTTCAACATATTTATTGTTTTCCCTCACCCTTCCTATTTGTAAAGCTTAGAATAGTCCCCTTGAGTTCACAACAGGATTGAAAATTATTATATCTTACATTGTCCTACCCTGCCAAAACTGTCTGCATTCTGCATACAGCTTAGGGAATTGCATGTATTTTAACTTTTGCCACAGCCAAGGTCACATACACTCCACAGTGCTGGAGCCTGCATCCTCCATTCATTTCCATGGATTCAGTGGCAGTATGGTGGAAGTTCTCCAGCAAGAATCAAACAAAACTGGGGAATATTGATAAATTAAGTTTGAAATTGAATAGCTATTTCTCTAGTTTGGGGGTTTTTTTGTGTATGTGTACTATTTATTGTGTTCTGCACAGCTTTCACAGCGCCAGGTTTTACTGTGCTGTAAGTTTTGTTGCTGACAACTTGCAATGAATGATCTCCTGAAAAGTTCTTCTGAGGAGAGACGGAAGGATTACAGAATCACTGAATCATTTAGATTGGAAAATACCTCTAAGATCATGGAATCCAACCTTTGACTGATCATCGCCGTATCAATAAGACCATAGCACTAAGTGCCATATCCAATCATTTCTTGAATACCTCCAGAGATGGTGACTCCACCACCTCCCTGAGAAGTCTATTCCAATACTTAACAACCCTTTCCATGCAGAAATTTCTCCTGATGTCCAAACTGAACCACCCCTGGTGCGGCTTGAGGCCATTTCCTCTTGTCCTGTGACTAGTTGTCTGGAAGAAGAGACCAACCCCCACCTTGCTAAAACCTCCTTCCAGGTAGTTGTAGAGAGTGATAAGGTCACCCCTGAGCCTCTCTTTTCTCCAGACTAAACAACCCCAGCTCCCTCAGCCACTCCTCATATGATTTATATGTTAATAGCAAGTGGGGAAAGAGCAGCTGAGGATGGGACAAAGTAGAAACATCAAAGTCAGCCAGAGACCATGTCATTAGTACATGGAAGGTTCTACTAAATGCATTTGCAGCCATGGCATCCACCTGGTAATCATTAGGTTAAAGAGTGAACCTGATGTTGCTAAAACAAAACTGCCAGGGAGTCTGCAGGTTCAGGCATACCTCACATAGCCACTCACTTGGGATTTCTCAGGCTTCCTCTGCACCCTTCACTTCTTTAACACATTTATGTATTTGAAGTACACTGTTTAGGTAGGACATGAATCCCGCCAAAAAAACATGGAACTGCCACATCACAAAGATCACTTTCCAGTGTCTGCAAGCAAGGCCTGAGGCACAGCCAGCTGATGGGCTTCAGAAACCTTGCCTGTGCTGTTGCAAGGGCATAAAGGTCACTGGCTTAAAATCACTC